TCAGGAATTCTCGGGCTCACTTACAAAGGATTGGTGAGAGGTAGGTCTTCCAGTAGTGTGTCTTGCCACTAAGTAGGTTTTAAGTGACAAACACAGTGTATTATGCCAATCATCTTAGGTTTTAAGTAGATAGGGAAGAAAGGGATATTGGAGATCTCTAGCTGACCCGGGCAGGCCACCTTTCCATCTGTGTTCCAGCCAACTGAGCTTTCTTCTAGTGTCTTTCTGAACTCCCCCAGACACAGCATTCAGAATCTGCTGAGCACACCCACACCAATCCATTTTGTTTAACACAATGTTGTGTGCCCGAATTACAATCCTTCACCATGATCACCTATTTCCATGCATGTTTTTGCATAATTTAGAAAAGTCAAGTAGTTGGGCTTTTTTTTTGGGGGGGGGTGGAGAGATAGAGAATGAAGTTTTAGATCATACTTTGAACCTCAAATTTACAGACCAAGTCATACAGCATTCAGCTGGGCAGCTCCATAACTGGTTAATTTTTCAAGCCAACTACACACAAGTGACTAAAAGCAAGTGAGGTTCTAGAACTTTGATTAGCTTATTCCTCTCAGGTTTGTCCTCATTTTTACTCCAAACATATGTGAGACCAAGTTCAATTTCTTTGGTAAATTTCAGCCATTGCCACAGGGTTAACTTGCATTTGATTTTTGGATATGGATATACATGGGTGTGTGCATGAGAAAAAAGAGAGGCAAAGAGAGCCAGAGAAGAGAGAGAAGAGCGAAGGGGGAGAACGGGAGGGAAGGGGACGGGGAGGGAAGTGAAGGTTGTTTTGAAGCTTAAGTCTGGCTTTGGACTCTCCATTCTCCTGCCTCAGCCTACCAAGTACTGAGATTCAAATTTATACCACCATGGGGGGTGGCAGGTACCTTAGGTGGGAAATGAGCATGAAGACATTTCTTAATCCTTTAGCTACAAAATACTTTTTTTTTTTTTCTTGGTCGGTCATGGGGCTTGAACTCTGGGCCCGGGCGCTGTCCCTCAGCTCTTTAGCTCAAGGCGAGCGCTCTACCACTTGAGCTACAGCGCCACTTCTGGCTTTTCTGGTGGTTTATTGGAGATAGGAGTCTCACGGTCTCTCCTGCCCGGGCTGGCTTTGAACCGTGATCCTCAGATCTCAGCCTCCTGAGTAGCTAGGATTACAGGCGTGAGCCACCAGCGCCCGGCTAGCTACAAAATACTAATGACATTCTTTACAGAAATAGAGAAAATAGTAAAAATGTATATGGAGTCAGGAGCAACAACAGCCAAAAGAAAAAAAAGAAAAAACATGGAATCGAACAGTTCTGAACAAAAAGAATTAGGTGGGCCTAGTCGGGGGAAGTGAGTCCCTAGTTTGGAAGTGGAGGCAGTAAGGTGTTGAGTTCAAGGCCAGTCGGATCCCTATCTCAAATTGCTATTGAACAGGGGCAGTTAAACTGTAGCTTACCACATTGCCAGGCAACTTGCTGACCGCTCTTCACATGGAAGTTGCTGTGAGTTATGAGTATCACTGCTTCTGAACACCATTAACAGTGTGCTACAAGCAAGGCCTGGAGGTACAGGCCTGTGATCCCAGCTACTTAGGAGGCGCAGACAGGAGGGTATTGGGTTCTAGGCCAGCCAGGAATTCTCCTCAACATTAAAAGCAGGCTGGTTTTTATGGCTCAAGTGGTAGAGCATGTATCATCCATTAAAGATTACAGAAATACTTAACTTAGGAGACATTCCCTCCCCCGCCTTATTGTTCATTAATCCTTTTCTACAATTAAGACATTACTTGCAAGATCAATGTATTACTTATAACACATTGAGATTTTTGTACCATTGGTTTCGGGAGACAAGAGTACGGGAGTAAATGTGTGGCCTGTTGCTATCCTGAGGGTCCTAGCCCGGGAAAGTGGAGAAGCCCTCCAATAAGATCCTGGATCTTGGCTACAGACTCAGTCACACCCTGCTTTTTCCTTTCTTCGCTTACAATGAGACATCTAGTACTTCCTCACAAAGGTGATAGGATCTCTGGAAGGTTTATACAATTCATTCCATGGACATTAATGTTATTAATGTTAGAGAGGTGGTAGAGATTCTAAGATTTAATCATCTTGGGAAACTGGCTCAGTCTCCCAGGATTTCTTGCTGTGTTACCCTGCAGACAGTTACAGTGTGAAGGAACAGCTCTTGGAACTGGAGTTTCACATAAGGCAGAATGATACGAAGTTACTGTCTCTATAGGTCTCCAGAAAGCCTCAGAAAGGCTGATTAGTAAAAATGGAAGTCTCCACTCTCCCTCACCTTCCAGAATGCTCTCTTCTTTAGGGGTTCTTGCTTGAACCTTTTATCTTTTTAGTCAAAACTCATGGTGATGCCCAAGCAATCTCCCCCTCTTGTGTGCCAGGAGTTGGGCCTTTCCACTGCCATTTTCTCCCCCTTGCAGCTGAGCAGACATCCACCTGCGCTAACAAGGCTTTCACATGGCTTTCACTCCTGGAGATTTGAGCCCTTAAGTGTTGGCACTGGATAAAAGCTCAACAACTGTATATGTTCCCAGGTAGCAGTTTCTAAGAAAAAAAAAACACCAACAGCTGTAACATTATTTTCTCCTTCAGACAAAAGTATCACCCTCAGGGTAATACGAAAACCATCTGGCTCTTGATGAAACCGAAGGCACGAGCCGCCATTTTAGCATGTGGCACACGCTGCATATCAACGGACAAGAAAAGAACCAAGCAATATTCAAAACAAAACGAAGACAGCAAACTCCCAGCATTTCTTCAGTGAGGACCCTCTCCCAGGATCTCAGTTCCCTTGGGCTCTATCAGTGACAGAGAGGCTTGTGGGAAAGTGCTGATCCAGCCCTGTGACATCCTTTTGGAGTTTGGGGAGAGCCCAGTTTCTCTCTCTCAAACGCAGGAGAAAGGAGCTTCAGGAAGACCTCTCTACAAATGAAGATCCACGAGCCAGGCTTTGGGGGTCATTTTGCCATCTTGGAAGGTTCTGCAACCTGAATCAAGCCAGCCAGCTGGAGTGCCCCAGCTTTGGGGGAAGAGACGGACACAAGGGTTGAGCTTGTCCAGTGACATGAACTGCTTGCCACGGTGGTGGCGGGAGGATCGGGGAAATGAGTTTTCATCTGCAAATGTGTCTCAGTGGGTGAATGAGAGGACACTGCTGGCATCTGGGGACGGGTGATTTTGGATTCTGAGACTATTCTGTCAAGGATGGTTCACACTTCCAACTTCCTTCCCACTACTAAATATTAGCAGACCAACTCATGGTGATAACTCAAAAGTACTCATTTCCAGTGCTTTCTGTGGGTGCTATCTTCTCTCTACTAGGGCTTCAAAAGAATTCTAAATTCCTAAGTAGCAGTCAACTCCCCAGAAGATGTTTTCTGCAGTATTACCATCTAGTTTCTTTAATAATCCTATCAGGGATGCTCACTGATGCCCACTGCACCCTGAGAATACACATCCAGACGCGCACTGCTACTAATCCAATGCAAAGTGGCCCGGTGCTCACAAAAACCAGGAGCCACGGGAACCTAACATGGCTCCTACCCTTGGCCAGCTTTCAGACAAACAGATACTCGAACTTCAGTTGAAACGCATGCATATAAATAAAAATGAGAAACTCACACGGTCCTATTTCTAAGGTCTTTTTTGGATTGAAAGTTGAATTCTGCCACACTGGAGTGTGGCAATCAGTTATTTGGAGAGAGGAAATGGTTTGCATGGAGAAAGAAAAGACACAGGAAAGAAATCCATTCTACTCAAGTTTTAGGGAAACATTTTATACTTTATATATAAAATTTCAGTACGAAATCATGTAAAATGACAGGAATATCCGCCTTACATTAAAAGCCAAATAAAACAAAAAATATCCCCCCCCCCAAAACAACCCAATATACACTGAAGGTAAATTTTAATTATAAAACAAGAGTATGAACAAAACATTTTAAAATAATCTCGATTATTTGGCAACTTACCACATCACTGCAAGACAAATTTGACCTTAAGAAAAGTTTGATTTTATGAAAAACACAAGTTGGACAGTATGCTCATGTGGGAATTAAAATATGTTTAAAAAAGAACCTGGTGATAAAGCCAGTTTCTCTCCTGAAATAAGTGTAGAAAACAACATAAAATCCCAAAGCTCAATAGATAGGATTTAGTCTTTACTGCCTTTCTCTTCACTGAGAAGAACAAGAGGGCAATGCTGGCGGCAGCTTGGGACAGCAGAGGAGGAACGAATGCTGGCCGGGGTGCAGGGGCTTAACATTACCAGAACCAGGATCTCTCACGGCAGTGGGGCTGGTGGTAAAGTCACAGATGCAAGTATAAGCTAATAACAAGCTACATTCTTAAAAAAGTCACGACTGTGAACAGAAAGTAATGGTGACCCTTTCTTTAGCTAAAACTACTCGACTTGGATACATGCGCAAGTTTCTGTAGAGTTTCCTGCCAGGTCATATTCAGCGAGTTACAGGGCAGGCAGAGGTTCTAAAAAAATTATTTACTAATGACTGCATAGCATTTAAAACCCTTTTTCATTAAAAAAAATAATAAAATAAAATAAACAGATATATAGTAAAGTTCACAGATAAGATTTCTCTGTAAAATAAATAAAGTGTTCATTGATTAGCATCATACATAGAGTAAAATACAACCTATTTTTACATGTTTATATACTGTACACAGACCTCCAGGAAGCAGCCTGGAGTCTCAGGGCTGGAAAGGCTGCATGGGGGCGGGCGGGGGAGGGGGGGGGAGAGAAGGAAATCCCAATTTTGCATGTTCAAATATACAACTACTTTGTTGAATTCAGATACAAAGTAAACTTACTTTCCTTTATCTGAAGTGAATGTACATAGTATCTTCTATGGACAATAGTTTATAAAGCTGTTTAAAACACAACAAGAAAAAGCTTGCACCTAGGAACTTAGAGCACATGCACATCCTTTTCTTGAGCTTTTTTTTTTTAAAGCCCCAACTCCGAGGCTCTCCCTCCCTCCCTCCTCCTGAGGAAGCATTATCGTTTCACCTTCTTCCCAGGAGCTTCCTCCACCCTCTGCTGACCCCTCGTTCGGGCCCCAGGAGGGCTGGCTTCTCTTTTGCGCTTGGTAGAAGGCGAGAGCTGCATCTTTGATCTGCATGAAATGAAAGCCAAGGCAATGGGACAAGTTAAAAGCAGCTGCTTCAAATAATTTAGTAGTTCTCCAAACAGTTCGATAGTTTTTAACTTGACCGCAAGGAGAACATCCCAACACAGGACAAGGAGCTGACACACGAGCAACAGGGCCCTGGAGAAGCACTGAGGCCTGCCCTGCGCTTGGCCTCCAGCCCTGCTGACTCGTTTCCTCCTCTGGCCACTCGCTCTACCTGTGTACCCCAAACATCAACTACCCACACACATGTCCCCTCAAGAACACAGACATAGGGGCTGGGAAGGTGGCTCAGTGGTAGAGCGCTTGCCTTGCATGCCTGAGGCCCTGTGTTCCATTCCTCAGCACCACATAAGCAAAAAGAAAAAAGCCAGAAGTGGCGCTGTAGCTCAAGTGGTAGAGCACTAGCCTTGAGCTGAAGAGCTGAGGGACAGCGCCCAGACCCAGAGTTCAGGCCCCACGAC